CACCAAACCAACACCCACCACACCAAACCCCACCACAACCACCTCTACAGCCAAACCAAAGCCAACCACAACTATGGCCAAGCCAACACCTACCACACCAAAATCCACCCCAACTGTAGCTAAGCCAAAACTTGCTACAGCCACAGCCAAACCAACACCCACCACACCAACATCTACCACCACTACAGCCAAGCCAACGCCTGCTGCTACAACACTAGCACCTGCCACAACAGCAAAGACACAGCTGAAAACTGCCACAACCACAAAGCCGGAGCACAAAGATCCTATTGAGGCAGCCAGGATCGCTCTTTCCTTTGAGCCCACCTTAGAGCCAGATTATAATGTATCTCCAGAGGCAGACACTGGAGACCCTCTTAGCTCCTTCGCTACAGAGGATCCAGCCTTATTAGAAAGCATGGGCACAGCCTTCAGCCCCAGATCAGTCCCAGAAATAAAGAAAGGTGTCAAAGAGCACGGGAAAGAGAAATCAGCCTTTCCCAGTCTGTCTCCATCCCTCAGCCAAGCTGTTCCAGAGATGAAGCTAGGTTTCAATAGAGCTGAGCTCATAACCCCCTCCAAGTCAGTGGTCCTCAGCCCTGAAGAGCCCACGTTCTTGCGTTTAACATCATCCTCCAAAGACAAAAAAGGGCCGAGCCCCCATTTCCAGACCTCCCTCTCAGGTAAGGCAACCGTGGAGTTTGTCCTGGCATGGACACTTGGACATTCAGGGATCCCCAAGCAGCATGGAGAGGGCTTGGGAGGAGCAGTGTCAGACTGGTCCTTTGGATCCTCCTCTTGTATGTGCCACCAAACCTTTTCCTCACTCTGCTCTAACCCTGAGGGGCTGGTTGGATGTCTCATCTCTGAAGCATGGTCCCATTCACAGCCTGCTCCCACTAACACACAGCTTCCCTGGACCAGAGCTCTGCTGCCTCAAGGAGCCTCGGGGCACGTCATGGCACACCTGCATGAGTGGGAGCTTCTCTTCTGCCAGATCTTCCCCTCTAACTCCACATTTTCCTCTCTTCTTCCAGCAGGTGCCCTGGACACAGAAGAACTGGAGACAAACTCGGACCAGACAAGTGTGGATCCACCCAAAGGAGGAGCCCCCAGTACCTGCTTGGGCCTTTCCCTCTTCCTCCTCCCCAGTGCCATCCTGCTGGGCCTTCTGCTCTGAAGGGTCTTCCTCAGCTGTCCCTGCACCCCTCACCAAGGCTTTGTCAGCGCTGGTTGTTCCACAGCCCTGGCAGGCTCAGGAGACTCCTTGGACAATTCACACGCTCCCTCCTTACGCTGCCTTCTCTGCTGCAGCCCCGGCGAGCCAAGGGCAGCCATCAGTGCTGGGGGAACTCTGTCCCCTTCCTGAGCAGGCCTGAGGGCAGGAGGGTGTTTGCCATAATGCTGGTGACCTTGGATGCTTCTCCTTTTTCCTGGCTTCTATTCCATTCCAGGCTGGAAGTGTTGAGCTCTCCCACCCATCTGCTCGTGTGGCTGGCAGGCCCTGCCACAGCCTGACCCTGGGGACAGCAGGGTGACCTGGGGACAGTGAGACATGGTGGTTGGCTTTGGTATTTGTAGATGAGACATGGAGGTTGGCTTTGGTGGTTTTTACCAGCAGAAATGCTCTTTTCCTTCCCAATGTGCCCGTCTCAATTTTGGACAAGTTTTACCTCTTTCCCTTCTTGTCCAAATAGAGTGGCTGTTTTCAGGATTTCTGTTTCCTCCTGGTTCTGATGGAGCTCTGGCCAGTACTGCCCAGCTGTTCACCCCTCTCCTCCTCACACTCTGCAGCCCTTGCCTCCTCCAATGCCACAGATTTATTTTACGCGTGTGCCTGCACCTGTGTGCATGCACAGAAGAGAAACCTCCAGAGCTGAGAGAGGCCACCAGCTCCTTTATGCAGCTTTTCCCTGCATGGCTTCATTCTTTGCATAATTTCAGTGTATTTGAATTTAGATACAGATTCCTCTTGACATGTAATCTGTGTGTGTGTGGTCAAGGAGAACAAGTCCCCACTTGTGCTGGTACAATCTGAGCTCCAGAGATACAGGTGACATTGTTAGAGGTTATTGGTGGCTCCTGGGCCTGTTGCAGGACCACTGGCATTGTCTGGGCCACTGTGTTTTGTTACCCCACGTCTCCCCTCCCTTCACCTGAGGATTCCCAGTTAGGTGTGTTAAATATGTGACAAGCTTTGCAGATAGGTGGAAGGAAAATAATGGGGAGATACAGCCCCTTCTCTGGTCATTGCAACCTTTCATTTCTACAGATGAGGTGGAGGATGACTTGAAGACCATTATTCAGGTCCTCCACTGCTGCTCTGTCCTGTGCATCCCCAGAGCATGCACTGAATAAATCCTGTTGTGAAAGTCTGTTCACTCTCTCTCTGGGGGATCTGGACACCTGGGAGCTACTTATTATACCTGTAAAATGCTCTTAATTATGTGCTTACATAGAATTGCTAAAAGATAACATGACTTCTGTGGGTCCTGAAGGGGTTTTTTAGCTTTCCAAAAGCATCCATGTGCTGCTTTTTGTAAGGGTGTAGCTTAATGTTTTTAAACCTTTGTAAAAGCAGCAGTAGGCCATGGGGATTGAGGATGATGCAGGGAATTTTTCTTGAGCATCCAGCTGAGTGTAAAGTAAAAATGTGTCCCCACCAGGAATTCTTGGACAAGGAAAGCAAGGCAAAAAGAGCTCAGAGCAAAAAAAGAAATAAAAACTATGGCTGTTTTAGGAAGCCCAGCACAAACCTCTCACACACAATTTCATCTCTGTGGCACAGAAAAAAAGTTAAATACAAGTGTACGTCTCAAGATTCTGTTTTTTTTGCAGCATTTTAACATCAGAACATCCCTCTGGCAGCAGCATACGAGGAAAGGGCCTCGACAGGCGGAATCAGCACTGGAGTGATTCTGGTACCTGACTTTGCCTTTTTGCTTTTCCCCGTCCTCCTGCCCCTGCTTTTCGCAGCAGAGCCGCCCTGCAGCTGCTGCACATTCCTCTCCTGCAGGAGCCCAGCTGCCTGGGGCTGCTCTCAGCTCCCTGGCCAGCCCAGCCCAGCCAGGAGGTGACCAGCAGATGGCACTGGGACAGGCACCGCTGAGAACTGGGCAGCTCAGCCCTGCCCGCACTCCTGAGCTTTATTTCACTGCCAGCCTCAGATGTAGTGAAGGATCAGATTTTAAATGACCTCGTGCCCAGGTGCCCTGGCTGCTGCACGCTCTGGGAGCAGGCTGAGCTCCTGCTGCCGAGCTGCCTTCGGGGGAGAAATCCCTGCCTGCCTTATGGGCAGATGAGAAAATACAGCCCCAGAGGCTGCTCCTCAGCCGTGCCAGGGGAGAGGGCTCAGAGCTGGGAGAGCATTTCAGGACCTCGTCTGCTTTTGCATCTGGGTGAAGGCCAGTCTGGCATTCCCTAACAGTTCCCTAGAAACACTACCAAGAGCAGAAAAGCATTTCTCCTCCCAGCAAGATCAGGGCACTCAGGCAAACCCTGATTTTTGCAGTGCTGGATCCCCCACCCCGCTGAGAGCCATCGAGGCCCAGCGGTGCAGCTGATTATCAGCCACCAACAGAATTCCAGGACTGAAGTGTTTTATCAGCGGTGTGGGGCTGTGAACCTTGTGAAAACTCTTGGGTTTTCTTTTCCTGAAGGTTTGGACTTGTGGGGACAGGCTGTTGTGCAAGGACCTATTTATAGAGATCCTTGCAGCAGAGAGCTCCAAGCCAGAAGGAAATCCGCTTTCCTCTTGCCCTGCTCCCCGGGACAGCGGGGCTGAGCCTGCCCACACAGCCTTTGGGGGGCTTGCCTTAATCCTGACTTTGGCCCTTTGGGCAGGGTTTGGTGTGGTGCACAGGGCAGTGCACACAAACACTCAAGGCAGACTTCTGCAGCATTTCCACTCCATTTCTGGGCTTGGCATCAAGGGGACTCTGGCACTGGCGTGGCCCTGGCAAAGATTCTGCCAGGTTCTTACAGCCCCATGGCCCTGAGTGCTGGGAGGAGGAGAAGGCATCACCCATCAGCTGTGCTGACTTGGGTTAAATGGTGGGATTTGTGGTGTTTATGAGGCCTGGCTTCTTTGTGAACCTCACCTCTCTCCATCCCTGGGCCAGCTCCCAGCAGGGACAGGGAGGTGTTTGCTGCTGCCTGAGCGAGAGGAGGTTCCTTTGCTTCAGCTCCTGGATCTCCCATGAATGCAGTGGGTCAGAAAGGTTGGGGTGAGCACCTCCACCCTGCTGGGTATTTGCATTTGGGGTTATGCTGCTGGCAGCTCCATCCAGCTTCCAAGTATTTCCTCAGAGTGTTTGGGCTGAAAATGGCCTCATTCCATGTCCTGTGAGGGTCTGGGGAGGACCCACCTTTCTTGATCTTGATCTTGCTTCCTGGCTGCTTTTTGCTAAAAGGATGTGCCTTTTCCTCCCTGACATTGTGGCAAGGATGATGTGGCTGCCCCAGTGCCATGTGCTGTGGGATCCTGGCCAGTGAGTCAGGTGAGTGTCCCACATATCCATGGGCAGAAGCTCAGCCAGGCTGGTCACCCTCCTCCTGGGAAAAGCTTCCCTCTCCTTTGTGCCAGGATGCATTGGAACAATTAAACTTTTATCTGGGATGGTTTCTTAGCCCTTTATGGGATTTATTTGGGTTAGTGGACCCTGTGTTCTCCTCTTGCTGGTATACACATTATAAACGTGTTATAGCAAGAACTATCCAAGGCAGAGGGAAGCCCCACCTGCAGCCCTTGAGCTGACTGAGGATGAGGAATCAAGTCAGGCTTTGTGTAGAAGTTGTGCAGAAAACTTGTGTAAGGAAAGCACCTGCTGACAGCCAGCACACATGGTCTAAGCTGCTTGGCCAAATCAGTCTGCCCCACATCCTCATCTCTGGCTTCCCTTTCACACCCAGGATTCTGTTCAGTCAGGAACAGTGACCACCCCTCAAGATGTCCCAGTTCACCAGCCAAGCTCACTTCAGGGCAATAAAAAGACTCTGTTTTAAAAAAGTCAAACCAATTTTATTTTCACAAGGGACTATCTCCAGCAATATTTTATTCATGGCTTCCAGCTCACACAGTTCCACTGTTTGAGATTCTCTGCATTAGTATCAATGCCACGCAGGGGGACTGAACAGATTCCATCTGAGACACGTGGGATTAGCTCTTTTCCAGGGGACACCTCTCCAGATGAAGTGGACATGCCGCCCTGTTCCCATGCTCGTGCTGCTATTTCAGTACCTTCCAAGCAATCTGCGGGCAGGAGCCCTGCCCCTGAGCAAGCAGCTGGAGGATAATAATGCAGCTCAGAGGACCAAGCTGTAGTTTTGCACAGCAAGTCGCCAGGACTGCTGAAAAGCCAGATTTATGGAGAGAGGGCTGCATTCCTTCGCCGTTTGGAACTGCAGCATCCCCACCCACCAGCTGTGTCCCAGCCTCGCTGCAGCTACGCCCAGTCCCAGCAGAAGGGCCTGAAATGAGCTGCTCCATGCTGGGGACTCCCACAGCCCCAGCAGCCAGGTCTGCCTCCCCCTCTGCCTTTGCTCAGGGTGAAATTTGAGGCCTCCAATTTCGTTTTGCTCTCTCCCTCCCACTTCATCTGAGAAGGTGTCCTCTGCTTGCCCCCGCTCCCTGGTGTCTCGGATCTCACAGTCTCCCTGGCAGAAAGATGGTCGTGATAATGGCCTGAAATGTCCTTCCTGATGCAGCCCTGATCGTGTTACAGCTCCTCTCGTGGTCTCGATCCTACTTACTCTGGAAAACGGCAGAGGGATAGTCCCATCTGCTCCTAAGAAACAGAAGAATTAACAGTTGCCTGTCCCTTGCCAAGGGCCAGAGCTCTGAAGCATGATGACTTCTCGCATGTCTGTTGTCAGGTGACTGCCTGGGAGAACCCAGAAGGATTAGAACCTGCTCCTTTTGGCTCACGTCTCTTCCTTACCTGTCTCCACGTTGGGACAAGTTGGAATCGTTGGTTCATCCTATGTAAATATCCAAGAGACCCAAACTTCCCTGACAGGGTTTGCATGTGAAGGAGTTCAGTTGATAAGGGATTATCAGATCAAAAAAAGAACTACCCTCTAACTCTGCTCCACGGGACAGGCTGGGAACTTGTCCAAAACAAAATGCACTTCCTGAGCAGGGCCCAACCAGCCAAATCTGATCAGCTCCCAGGGCTGAGTCCACAGTCCCCTGGGTCTGGTTCTGACCCAAGCTTCAGAACTGGGCACAGCAAAATTAAAGCATGAGCTCAGATCTGTCCCATTTATACAAAAGTATCTGCTCCCCTCCAGACCTGAGGACAGACCAGAGAAGATCAACACACATTTAAACACTTTACAACTTGAACCCATCTCCTGGAAAAAAAAGAGTAGAATTGAACACTGGGAGCTGCTGTGCAAACTCATTTCCCTCGAATCTTAAAGAGAGGTGGGTTCCCTGAAAGCAGGTGGCTCCGTGCTCCAATGCCTGAGGCATGAAGCAATTCCTGGAAGAATGCAATTCTGGATGCTGTAAGAGAAACACCCACTGAGTTGTTTAACAATGCCACGCTGCGTTTTTGGATCCTCAACAAAAGAAGCGATGATGCCTCGGGAGCTCCTCCTCCGGTGGTTTTGCTGCTCTTTAAGGAAGGCAATAGACTGTATAGTTATCACCTGAAATGGGATCAAATCCCTCCCACCAAACTATACAACCTACTACCTCACCTCCACAGAGCAGAACAGACGGGTCACAGGCACGGATTTGCTTTACTTGCACCACCTGCCCCACACCTGGTGTAGAAGTGGATGTGCAGACCTGAAGACCTGACTGTCTCCTTAGGAAAGACAGTAGATTGTATAGTTAGCTCAGAGGGAGGACCAGACTCCACAACTATTCAATCTACTACCTCAGCCTCAAGGACAGCTTGGGACCATGGCAGTCTAAGGCACTGGGATGATCCTTATCCAGGCATTGAGGTGATCCTTATCCAGGCATTGAGATGATCCTTATCCAGGCACTGAGACGATCCTTATCCAGGCATTGGCTGCTCTGCAGGTCCTGCAAAGAGGAATGCATGAAAAATCAAAATTCTTGATGGCAAGGGAGAGGAGTCATACCCAACCTTGTCCTGGAGCTCCTTCTCCTTCTTCAAACCTCCTTCAACCCACTTGGACTATACCTTGTGCTTGGCAATTACACTGGCTGCAGACTTCATGCACCCAAGGGTGCACAAAAGCAGCAGCCCTGCCCTTGGAACCTGGGGCTACACATGGAGATAGCAGAGCTCTCGGGAAGCTGCAGCAGCGCCAAGCACACCCAGCCAGGCTGACCTCACCTCCTGAACACACAGCGTATCTAGAACAAACCTGCCAGACCAGATAAGAGAATCCATCAATTTAGCTGCTGTGCACTCCAGGGAATTGAGCAGATTAGAAATAACTAAGTACAAGGAAGCTTTTAGGCTGCAAATGTAATGGTATCGAGTACATCAAGGCAGATCTTATTTCCTAAACAAATGAGTGCAACATGCAGCCGTGCTGTCCCTCTAATGCTCCAGCCCAGCCAAGCAGTATTAGCATGGATCCGAGACAGACTGGCTTTCCCCCAAGCCCTTGGCTCACCTTCTGAGGCTTCTTCACTCTCTGCACACCCAAATACAGAGGCAAGGTATTAATCTGGTAGTTTGAAAGAAACGTGTGAGGCTCTTTTGCAAGGAGAAGAAAGAATTCCCCCTGGAGATTAAAGAAGCCCTAATGAGGAGGGAGCCACGCCAAGCAGGCTGCATGTGCAGCCCAGCACAGTCCCAAAGGATAACTTCCCATGGGAGCTCAGCAGGACATGTCCCCAACCTCCACAAGCATCTGCTGAATGCAGGTGGGAGAGGAGGGCGCTCAGGCAGAAGTCTCCAAAGGGATAGAAGCTGCCTAATGCTTTGTGCTTCCACAGCTACCAGGCAACAGCCTAAATAATCCCAAATTTTTGGTCAACTACTGTAGCTGGAATCCTTGTGAGAGTTTAGGATGGCCTCAGGTGTAAGGGTATCTCTGCAGCAAGGTTTGGACGTGCTCTCTTCCAGAGCTCTCCACAGGCTCTCCTCACTGGCATTCAGCACAGTCCAGGTAATTCTCTTAATTTCCTTTGACAAACTGGTCCTTGACAGGGAATGACCCACTGTGCTGGGCCATCTGGTGTACCAGGGAAAGAACAACGTGGCAGAACTGGATCCTGCAGCACTGGAGTGCCCGGCCCATCCCAGCTGCCAAGTGCATCCCAAACAGCCTCCTGATGGGAAATGCTGTTTCTCCTGGTTTTATCAGCATAGAAAGTGATGTACAGGGGATGCACATCCCTCCTCAGCACATGCAACACCAGCCAGAACTTCAGTGAGGTGACAGCCAGGCTTAAGGGTCCATCAGGTCAGTCACTGCTCAGCTCCTTGGGGACAGAAGGGTTAGTTTAAACTAACATGTTTCAGCTTCCCAAAAATTAAGCTGCTGCCACAAGCATCAACAGAAGAGTGGCAAGAAAAACCACCAGATGCAGCACTGGTCAGGGACTTGGAGGTGGTCTAGATGATTCCTGGGTGATGCATAAAGGCAGAAGATGTTTGTCTTCTTCCAAAGAGATTTTTAGCAACTGACTTGGAGGAACAATTTTTCCTGGTTCCCAATCTGGTGGTTTCTATTAATTTAAGCACATAAGCCAGATGTATCAGGCAGGCATTTCAAAGGTCACTCTTGATACCTTTGCAGACAACAGGCATTTGGGCCAATCTCAAACTGTTGGTGGGAAATTACATTAAATAACTCTGAGCTCACATAGATGTAATTATATATGGCGAGAGGGGGGAAAAAAATCCCTTCTGACTTCTATAAGTAAACCTGAAAACAGAAGACTTAATTATAATAATTGTCTTAATGAGTATAGGTTTTGGGAATACCCAGCTGCTGACTATGGAATCCTGATTTTAGCAGGATCTGTGAGGAAAGGAGTCAAACAGGAGGATTTATGGATCAAACAGGGGGATTTTTTATGCCCGGTAAGGATGACTAAGAGCATCCTACCCTTAGTATCGCTGTCACACTTGTTTGTCCTACACAAATTGCAATGACAAGAATTCCCTCTCCTCATGGCTCGAGGTCTAAACTATCAAGACAAAAGACAGGGAAGGAAGGAGATGTGCCCAAATTTGCCTGGATATGATGCAGCTATGCAAAATTCTGGATAAAACAGCCAACAGGGTCTGTAGGCGTCACAGACCCACATCCAAAGCTTCTCACTGCCTTTTGAGATTCAACTTAGTTTTGGAAGATTTTTGGATACTCGATTGCCAAGAACTTCTTCAAAAAACACCACTTTCTGTGCAGGCCTTAAGGCAGTGGCCCTGTAATTTCCACTTTCCATATTTATATGGGTCCCTCAAAATCTACCAAATCTGATTTCTGTGAAAACACTTCATTGGTTTCTTCAAGCCACTGCACGAAGGTCCTGTGCACAGAGTGTGTCACTACATGGTCCCACTGTCTACAGGTGCTTGGAGGGGTGAGAAAAATTGAGAGGCAAAAGAGTGTGTTTTTTTCACAGTAAGATCATCCAGGCTGCAATAAAAATAGCATTGCCAGTTCAGCTTTCAGACTTGTTTTTGGGAATCAAGAAGTGACCTAAACTGCTCCTCATTTATCAGGGCTCAGGATGGCTTGTGATGACCCCAGCCGAAAACCCAAGATGATGCCCCCCAAATTTTGAAATATCTTTGCATCAGAGATTCCTGAGCACGGCCAAGTGTCTGCATTTAAAAGGAGCCCACCTCGGAGAGGAGCTGGAAAGGCTCCGAAGCCTTGAGGAGCTGATCTGGTTCATTAAGGAGCACTGAATGAAATGGAGGAGGGGGGAGGAGGAAACCAGAAAACAACAAAGTCTCCGCTTTAAAAGCTGACACCACTTTCAGCCTTTGTGTCGGTGCCGAAACGTGCCAGGGACAGGGAGGGCTTCTCAGTGGGAAATCAGGACCCTGAGTCTCCAAGAGGATTTTCAGCCTCCTGGAGCTGGGGCAGAACCAGCCCCGGCTCCCTGGAACGGCGGCGTTGGCACAAAATGGCCGAGTGTGGCCATTTTGTTCCCTTGGCTTCATCTCCTCCCAACCTGGCTGGAAAAATAAAAAAACCAAATGCATGAAAAAAAAAAAATTAAAAATCAAACCAAAAATAAGCCAAGAGAATGATGGAAGGTTTTCAGTAACTCCCCAACATTGTGGGGACCCCCAGAGCGCCAATCGGAGCTGCTGATCCGGCTGGCAGCGAGGAACCCGCTCACACGAAGAGCAGAAAACAACCCAAAAACCCATCTTGGACACACCCTGTGCCACGGGAAAGCATAAAAAATGACACTTGCCAAACTAGCCATGAAGACAAGTTGTTTATAGCTTCTCCCAAGGCCAGGAAAACCTCTCAGCAAAGCAAGGCCAACCAACTTTGCAAACACCCCATGCTAAAGTCAATATTAAATATCTCACTTTGAAACAATTAATCACAGACACCATGAATAGGGAAAGAGAAATGGAAGTAAAAATATTTACAATTCAATGCTGCAACAGCCCATGTCTCTCAGCAATGCTTTTACTCCACACACTTCTAATGACACAGGGAATATTTCACATCAACTTTGTCATCGCATTTATTATTAAACAATTAGCAGGTATCTTTATAAACAGCTGCTTATCTCTTAGGGGTTGTCTTGAGTCCTATCAGATATTTCTAAACATCTGGATCATTATTAATGAATCTGATATTGTTATCTATAATGCAGGCATCTGTAACCTGCTTGTTATATGACTTATCTTTCATTAACCCTTCCTAAATACATTAGGCCATAAAGGTAATGCTTTTTCTAAATGTTTGTGCATTTTCTTTGTTAATTTGTATATACCTCACCCTCTCCTGAAGCAAAAAAATGCCCCAGAATTTTTGTCATAAAAGATAGGTGCTACTGATATTTCACAGTGTAATTTCATTAAATACTAATTATAAGAGGAAAAAATATCCTTCAGGCTAATTTTTACCTGTTCTGCACTCAATTCTACAGGTTAACTCAAAAATCGGAAGAAAATTTTTTTTCTGTAATACTCTATAAAACTATTCTGTTAACACTGTTAACCTTCTCAACGTTGAATTCATAAGGTGCTCATGAAAGGTGTGCAGGTAATGTCCACCTCTAATGTAGATCTGGACCAGAACATTTCATTTGCACCGTGAAGCACCCGCCCAGCGCCCGCCCGTGCAGCCCCAGCTCCAGGACCACCGTGGCCCTGCCATCCTCTCTATTGTCTGTCTGCAAACAAGCCCAGGGGATATGGAGGCAAATCAAATACCTTTCTGTGCAAGGAAAGCCATTTCACCTCTTTCTGCTCTCCTTCCCAGCTCCGCTCTGGAAGTGTCTGCTTCTCTCCACATGTCTGGAAAGCCACTCAAGGAACAGCAGGATGATCATTCCAGCACCTTATCAGAGCCTGATCCCCCCCGCGCCACAGGGCAGGGATCTGCTCCTCAGAGTGTCCACAAACAAAGTGACGTGGCTACTAACGCCAAGACATCCAGGCTACTGAAGGAAATGCAGAATCACTTAAAAAAAAAAAAATCACTTTTATCTGGCGCATATTGTGGTGTTTTTGCCCTGCTTCTGCACAAAATTTTACGGTAACGCCACCAAGTTGCTTTAAACTTTCAAGGCGTGTTCCTGTGGATGGTGTTTCTGTTGTGTATCACACCTTTACGTGTGCAGGATACACACAGAGTGCAGTAAACAGCTTGTGAGCACAGTGCAGCTCCAGCCTTGGGAGAAAAGCAAGGGCTTAAAAAGCCAAGAACAGCTATTGCTTTAAATATTTAAATTAAGATGTTTTTATTCCTGAGATGAAAACTTTCAAGGCAAGAAGGCAATAAACAAAAAAATCCCTAAAAAAATATCCTCCGGATTACATCAGCTAAATCCAGGCAGTGCCAGCTCGGTGGAAAGGTCAGATCCCATATGCACCAAAAACAAGAGGACACACAACAGGTTAAAATGCTACCGTCCGGCAATGACCGGCTCTGGTCATACCAAGCCGATGTGTAAAACCATCCGCCCGTCCAAAAACAAATTAAGACAACAGTGCTCTCTGGTACTTTATAAATCCAGAAGAAAGGAGGGCTGTTTTATTGAATATAGCGAACAAACCTTTCCGTCCGGCTATTCCGTGCAGCCCCGCGGCTCTGCGTGCACCGAGTAGCCCTTACGCTGCTCATACAAAAGCTCAGTTTGGCAATTCCAGGCATTTTCAGTGCTCAACATACGCCAAAACTACCCACTCTCTGCCTCTGCCTTTGGTTTCATTCCAAAATATCCTTTTTTTTTTTTTTTTCTCTCTTTTTTTTTCCCTTTCTCTCTCTTGCTACAGCCGGTGCCACGTAGAGACGGGAGAGTTGGGCTCGGACATGGCCGCAGCCTCCAAAAAAGAGCCAAGTCCCAGCGTCCCGGTTCCCCCTTCCAGACGGGAAACAAAATGGCCATGGAGCAGCCATTTTGTTTGCTGCGGGATGGGAGGGAGAAGGGAAGGGAGGGGAGACGCAGGCCAGGCGGGAAGGATGAGGGGGGAGAGGGGAGGGCGTCAATTCGGCAGGAACCCAAAAGCTCTGCAGCCATGCCCGGGCGCGTCCTCCTTCCTCCTGCCGGCCCCGTCCAGTCCCACAGCGGGACTGAGCCGGAGGGATGGACACAGGGCTGGTTTTCCAGCCCTCCCAAGCCGGTTGAGCCCGAGTTGTCTGGCCTGATATGGGTGGCACTTCCCTCCCTGGGCCAGGCTGGCACCTCCATCCCGCCCGCTGCTGCCGGGCTCTGCGGGAGCTCCCGAAGGGAGCCGGGCAGGAGAGCGGAAACCAAGCCAGTAACGTCAAACTCCTGAACTTCCCTGGGCAGGAAATGGTGTAAATAACAGCCGCGGAGAGGGGGAGAGGAACCCGGCCTTGGGGACAGCGTGGCCTCCACAGCGCGGAGCCCAATGGCACCCGCGGGAACAGCAACCCCAGCTTTCCTTGCTCACTCTCAGTCCCGCCAGGACGTGCCTGCCTCGGAAACAGAGGCTCTCTCCAGAAGGACCTTGTGCCCACAAAAAGCCTCATGAGCTCCACCACTTTTATCTTGCTGCCCTTCCACGGAGCAGCACCACAGCTGCCCATCCGGGCAATGCACCCACGGCTGGAGGAACTGGCCTCTCACTGGACCCTCTTCTCCCTAAAGCACAGGGCTCAAGTCCCTGTTAGCATCCAACACGACACACAGATGAATCCCACCCTCCACCACAGGCATTATGTTCCTCCAAATCCTCACCAAAACCAATGACAGGGTTTTAGAGCAAGGCAAACACCTCACAAATCTGCCTAGGAGTAACCGGCATTGGAAGACCCTTAGGAGTACACAAATCAAACACCCCTGAGCTTTCTGCTTCTGTAGATGGGACAAGCTGTGAAAATCAGGAGTATTCCCAGGATTTAGGACTAAGATCTCTGCATTAGAAGCCCTATCCCTTGAGGATGCAGGGAACTGGAAATGCCAAAACCCAGCACAGCTTTGAAGATGTTACAGGACCTGTAGGAAAATCCTGTAAGGAAGGTTGTCTATAGGATGAGGCACTTTGTGCCATATTCACATGGGATAAATTTAAGCACAAGAGGCTGGACCTGCTCAGCTTTCTCAAGTCAGTGGTGAGGGTAATTTCTCTGCAAAGTAATTCAGAGCAGAGGCATAATGACAACATCTTGAATTACCCTGTGAAAAAACTTAAATCTTTAGGTCTTTGTTAAAAAACACTATTCCTCACTGCAATTTCTGGCAAAGTAACCTAAGATCTTCCAGATGAAAGCTGTTATGGATTTATTAGTAATTTGTTGTGATCCATTAGGCTTATTAAAATGTCCCTAAAAATGAGCATCACCTGTAACAAACTCCACTGAAAACCTGCTCAGGATATCCTGATTTCTGGTATGGGTTTGATGTGGAGCCATGTGACCCCACAAGTAGGTTTGTGCACTTTGTATTAACCTCAAAGTCTGGGAATTTTGAAGGTATTTGAGAGATCCAAGTCTGGTTTATTTTACTAGGCTTTGAGAAGACCAGGCTTGCTTGAAAACACCTGTGCATGGAGAGAATAGTGCATTTATTGTGTAATACTCTTCTAGGAAAACCAGTAAGACAGGTTGGAGAATGATGACCAAAGGACTCTAGATGTGTATAAGAACAGATCAAGGATGGCCACACACAGCGTATCAGACTGAAGCTAAAAATGAAAACCAATTTCAGCTGCTCTGGCACCCCCACAACCTGAGGAACTCTGTTTTTACCCTTATTCTGAGTGAAAATGAACAGAGCAGGATGAGACACGTTTACAAGACACATGTGGGGTGTTTTGCCTTTCCCAATAACAGGGCCCCTACATCAGCAGCACCTTCCTGGTGGTCCAGAGATGGAGAAATACGGGACTGGGGACATGCATGGAGCTGGGTTGCTCAATCCATCAACAGCACACTCAGAGCTGCATGTAGCCCCTCAGCAGTAGCTGGTTATTCAAGAAATCTTAGTCAAATGAGGGCGCAGGGGGGGAAAGATGGGAATACAGAGGATAAGAAATGGGAACATTTGGGAAGCTGATGGAGGGGAGAGTGTCTGACGTGTAAGCAAGAGAATGAGACCAGGAATGCACAGGTTTTGTGGACCTGGGAGGGAGCTGAGATGGTTTGTGTCAGGAGAGGGAGGTGTGAACATGATTAAAATGCTGGAGCTTCACAAAGGACAAGGAAGGAGTTGCTGAACAGGGATATTTTTGTAGCCTCCAATCTGGGCTGCTGTGGGCTCAGCAAACTGGTGGTGCATTAAGCTGTGTGAAAGGAGTCCCTTCTACAGGACAGCCACTTGCTTTGCTGCCTTCTGCTTCTGTGACCTCACCAGCTCCCTCATTCCAGACACTCCCTTGACATTCCAGTGCTGAGCAGGGCTGTGGCTGCCTGGGCTGGTTGGAGGCCAGCAGACTGATAAGGCACGTGGCCCCATAATTAAACCCAGTGAGATTCTCCTCCTCAGGGATGGATCCCTGCATGCAGGGGTTGGTTCTCATTCCTCTGCACACATATCCTTGCAGCTGAGAATTGTCATTTGAGAGGAGGCAAAGCACAAAGCGCCTCCAGGTCGGAGCTGGGTGGAGAGAACAAGCTTCTCCTTTCTGTTTGGGATCAGGGCTCATGAGAAAGGGTCTGTGGTGTTGTCATGGGTCTGGCAAGCCAAAGAACTCTACCCTTGTGCTTCAGCTCAGGGCTTTTTCCAACCACGCTGCAAAGCTGTGTAAATCAGCTGCTCATCATCATGTGTCGGAATTGAAGGACTTCTTCAGCATGAAAGTTTCCCCTCTAGCTGTTTGTCTGAATCTCTTCAGGTCTTATCCCTCTGGTCTGATCCCATCCCAGTGAGCCTGCAAAAACACAGCCCCACTGCCATTCCTCATGTGCTCTCTCCTCCCCACACTGGCTATTTGCTCATGAAATTTAGAGTAGATGAAGATGTGAGTAAAAAGCCAAGGTGGTGAGAAAAGCTTTCCTTGAAAATGAGGCAAAGTGGTTTTGGTTTTATTCCTTGGTGCATGTGGGTGAAGCAAATTGCCTCCTCTGAGTATTTGGATGGATTCTTTTCTTCTCAGGTTTGTCCAGGGTACCTTCCCTCACTGGGCCTGGGCACTCTCTTGAGAGATTTTAGGACTCCTCTACTTCTGTTTCAGGGAAATTATGTGCATAAGGCAGCAGCAGTCACACAAAATCATTTGGGACAGAAAAACCCAGACTTAACAGCTGCATTGCTAAGCTTCTGCATCCAGTCTTAGTGAGTCACTTTGCCTGTTCCCTCCTTTGGGAGACAGATATTCCCTACCTGGGATGCTGAGAAGGTTATTAGTTAATGTACTAATTAACCAAATGTGCTTTGAACAATGGAATTGCTTGAGGCAGTGGATCTCATGAAGGTCTCAGTCTAACACTGGCTTTAACAAGACTGGGCTCCCAGTTCCTATCAGCTGGGACACCTTGCCCTCGGCCAGGGAGAGAAGAATTGAACTCCTATACATTATTCATACTGTTGGCACTCCTGAAGCACAAAGGCCAGAGTACATCCAAGCTCTTTCCTGCTCCCGCCACGGATGAAGATGGAGCTGCCACATCACAGACAAAGCTCTGGGGCTCCAGACCCACAAAACACAGACAAACCCCAAGCCAGGGTTTTTGACAAGATTTGCTGACCTTTCTAGTACATGCCCAGCAGTTTGTGACCCACATCTCACCCTGCTCTGGAGCTCTGCTCACACCCAGGGCAGCTTCTCCTCTCTTCCAGAAGCTGGATGGTGGCAGAGAGCTCTCTGAAGGGAGAGATGGCTTCTCTATCCATATCTCTGGGACCCATCCCAGACTGGATTTGGAGCTGCAGCTGCCACAAATCCTGCAAGACAAACCAGTTTAGGCTTTGGCCAGTCCTGAGCTCATCCAAAAGCCATTTTGTGCATCTTCAGGCACTTTATGTGTCTACTGAGACAACTGAGCAGGGAAGTCAAAACCCATAGTAGAGATTTTAACCTACTGAAAGGTTCCAATAGAAATATAAACACTGGAGCTGGTGAAAGTTACTTGCCTTGAATTCATGTTTGGTATGAATACAACAATCCTGCTCAACCCTGCACTGCCTCAGGGCACCAAAGTTACCTCTTAAGAGTGACACTGTCCCTAGGCCTGGGGGTGCTGGAGGAAGAGAGATTATGACAGTTTAGATTACTCAGGGAACTGAGTTTGTTTCCCAAACGTGAAACTAAAATCTCCTTCCACACCAGCTCTGCAAGCTCTGAAACCCTGCAGGTTTAGCTGGTTCCTCCCCAGCTGGAACAGAAAATGCCAGGCAATGTCACAGCTATTTCTTCTGTGTCACATTTACACAATGCAAAGACCGAATTGAAAGAAGCTGAAAATCATAATTAGGCAAGCAAGAACCTACAGTCTGAAAAATTCATCCCTCTTTAGTCTAGTCTGAGGCATGTATTGTATGAGACTCTTAAGAGCTGAGTTTTCAGAGCTGCATTTTCAGAACTGAACTGCTTCCGAAAGCAGGGCCCCTAAAATAAGCAAGATTAGCAAATGTTCCCACCTCCAGCAGTTCTGACGATGACACCAACAGACAGATTTTCATCACCCTTTTGGCTGAGCCCTTCTGGAACTGTGGACATATTTTCTACAGGCAGAATCCTTTCTAAAACTCCCCTTTGCAACATAGAAGCTGTACAGAATCCTAACTGCAGCCAAGTTTGACCACAGATCCAGCTCTCAGCCCTCTTTGTGGATGCAAAAATGCTTTGGAGAAACAATATCAATATGGCTTTGCTAATTGATGGTCTTGTGCTGGCTTTGACCCATCAGTTGATTGACCATCCTCAACTGTCATTTCCTAAACCCATTTTTCTTCTGCTTGTTTATCTTCCCCAGCCTTGTTTGCACACAGCCACCACCCAAAAAAACCTCTGTCCAGGGATTGGGATTTGTCACTCCTATTTCAGTAGCAGCAGAGCACAGAACAATATAGGGCCTATGCAAACAAGTAGTGCTGTTTTTGTTTGATTTTCATTTATTCCTTATGGTAAATCAGTGCATTCCAAACCAAACAAAAACCAGAAGATTTAGGAGCTGAGGAGCAGCCCAGAGCAATGTAACAGGGGCTGAGGACAGGTTTCATTTAGAAATTAAGCAACAAGTAGTCCTTGAAAGCAAATGAAATGTTTAACTTGTGCTGCATTCCTG